GACTTGATTTTTTTTAAGTGTGGCAGCACCCACACTTTGGACCTCCCTGCCTACTGATATCAGGCAGGTGGCTCTTCTTTGCGAGTCCGAAAAACATTTTTTGTTTTTGTTTAGACAAGCCTACGGCGTGTTACTTACACCATCCGATGAAGAGGAAAACCCACTTCCTCAGCTTGTCTGTCGAGTAGGTCATGACGATGGCCGTGTGCAGGTAGCAGCCTTCCACAAACATCCAAAAGAAATTGGTCACCACAAAGTAGTTGAAGATGGCTGTGATGCACCGGCACCACAGCTAGAAGGGGAAGCAGAAGGGAAGCATAGGTGAGGCCTACAGGGCAGGTGAACACTTCCTCGTTAAGTTTAATTGGTTTAATTGACACTGAAGTGGGAATGGCTATGTGTATTCATGAAGGCTTTAACATGGGGATTTTCCATGGGGCTATATTGATGGCAAGAATAGGACTCTGAACTCTAACTGAGTCGATAATGAACTATGGTTGTTTTCTGCTAGCTAACACAGGAGTGTTTAACCTTAGACCACACGAGAGGTATTGAATTGCAAATCTGCTGTCTTGGAAGGGTGGCATCTGCCATTTTTTTTGTTCCCAGACTCTGTGAGATGTAAATGAAGCTCTCCAGGTAAACCGCCTAAGACAGGATGCTGGATGGAATGCAGGCTGTGGGGAGAAAAAGACCTCTGATTCTAGGTCTGTTGGAATCATTTCTGTTGAAATTATTTCATATTTTGTCAGGTACTTGGAGCCTATGCCTTGGACTGGCGTATGTCTTATAGAACTGTTTGGATGTATCATTTGATGTTTCTGTTATGGTATGAAGAAAGTTCTGCAAATAAAGTTTTTAATTAAACTTATGGGCCTTGGCAATGTTTTTATTTCAGAAGGAGTTAGTTTTTATGCATCCAGTTGCTTCAAACTGTGCAATATTAATATCTGCAATATTCCTGACCTGCTGGGATAATTCAGCCTAAACAAGACTTTTTATTGTGCGCCCACAATTTACAAGTGAAAATTATTGCAGAAATCTATTTTGCATTTTTCACATTGACATGTCCTTCAGTGATCACATCAACCCTGTAAGGTAGGCTAGACTGAGAGATCCATGACAGATGCGTGAGCAGGGTCTGCCAGGTCTCATCCATATATACCAGGCATAGGCAAACTCGGCCCTCCAAATGTTTTGGGACTACAATTCCCATCATCCCTGACCACTGGTCCTGTTAGCTAGGGATCATGGGAGTTGTAGTCCCAAAACATCTGGAGGGCTGAGGTTGCCTATGCCTCATATATACCTTCAGGTAAGCACCATTGAAAGCAATGGAACTTTCTTATGACTGGACATATATAGGATTGCACTATTTATCATGGTGTGAGGCACTAGGTATTTGAGAATGCACTGATTCCCTGCTCCCTAACGAATGGAAATAATATCCACCCAACCCTTTGTCTGTTGAGAATCAGGAGGTATTGCCCACAACATTGGAGCAGATTTTTCCATCCGAAGGGACCAAAAATGCCACAATGTGTTAGATGGGCCAAGGGTCTGAAATGCTATAGGGCAACGGCCTAGGCTCCTATATCTGAATGACTCTATTTGAAAAAGAATTAATTAAAAATACATTATTATTTTTAAAAAGTTTCCATTTCAGAAAATGAAGAAAATGGCTTAATTCCCTCCAGACTCGCAAGCTCACAGCTCACGAAGCATGTGATTAGACATACCATTCCTTAAACAGGTACTAATCAATTCTCCTTTTTGGAGAGACATAAAATTATACAGCCAGCTGATTAAGCTGAGCTAAAAGAGAGGCCTTGTCTTGTCTCCCTGAGGAACCCGAACTCTGGGCTTCATTTGCACAAAACACGAAAGATTTCCATGCGGGGGGAAATAAGTGAGGGTAGCCCACCCTCCTTCTCTCACCCATGCAATTAAAAGGCAAAGAATGAGCTTCTTGTGATCAGTAGATAAATTCATTTTCATTCTCAATTTACCTGGAACTCATTTAAGAGGCAAATAAATTGCTCGGGGGAATCAGGTCAATGACCCATCTTAGTCCAGCATCCTAGCTGTATTCAGATGGGCTTTGACACCATCTGCACTATGTACTGGATAGCTCAGTTGGTTAGAGCGTGGTGCTGATAACGCCAAGGTTGCAGGTTCGATCCCCTTAAGGGACAAACCTTATATTCTTGGGCTGGACTAGATGATCCTCAGGGTCCCCTCCAGCTCTACAGTTCTTTGATTCAAAGAACTAGGACGCCACTTTATGCAGTCATGGCTTACACCAAAGAGAATCCTGGGAGCTGTGGTTTGTTAATAATAATAATAATAATAATAATAATAATAATAATAATAATAAAAATTATTTATACCTCACCCTCCCCAGCCAGAGCCGGGCTCAGGGCGGCTAACACCAGTAAAATTACAATAAAAACATAATAGGAAAAAAACAACCCAATTTAAAATACAGGTTAAAATGCAATTTAAAAGGCAGTCTCATTTTAAAAGTAGCCCATAAATCAAAACCATAAGGGGAGGGAAGCATAAGGGTCAGACTGAGTCCAAGCCAAAGGTCAGGCGGAACAGCTCTGTCTTGCAGGCCCTGAGGAAAAATGTAAAGTCCCACAAGGCCCTGGTCTCTTGTGACAGAGCATTCCACCAAGTCGGGGCCAGTACTGAAAAGGCCCTGCCCCTGGTTGAGACCGATCTAACCACCTTGAGACCTGGGATCTCCAAAGTATTGTCATTTGTGGACCTTAAGGTCCTCCGTGGGGCATACCAGGAGAGGCGGTCCCATAGGTACATGGGTCCTAGGGTGCTGACAGCTGGTAGGAGACCCCCCCTCCCAGTCCCCTCCCAGAGCTACAATTCCCAGAGTCCCCTGGGAAGAGGGATTTGTTGTTAAATCTGGGAACTGTAGTTCCGTGAGGGGGATGAGGGTGGTGGTTTCTCTTAACAACTCTCAGCCCCTCTAAGAAACCACATCTCCCAGGAGTCTTTGCGGGGGGGGGAGCCAGGACTGGCCCAGAATATTTGCCGGAGGGACGTTGTCCAGGATAACGAAAGAAAAGGAGAGATGAGATAAGGCAGAATGAGGTGAAAACCATAATTCTGAGGCGATGACAAGGAGGGGCTATAATTCAGTCTGGCGTAATCCTGTTATTTAGGACTGGGCCCTGTCTAAGAGGCAGGGATTATTTATAGGAATGATCTTTTCTGGGAGGGGGGAGGGGGAGAAAGATTAATGGATTGAATTTGTTTCCCCTTCATTCTTCTCAAGGTACCATCAAGACCTGGGTGAAGTGTAGCATCATAAATTACTTTAAAGTTTTTGTAAGGATCAGACTATTGGAGGGAGAAAAAAAATGAGTGCATATAGCAGGGTCTAAAACTTTGGGAATAAAATGCACCTGTATGTGTGTGTGTGTGTGTGTGTGTGTGTGTGTGTATTCAGTACATATAAAACAAGCGGGGTCTGCAACAAAATGTTGCAGTGCAGAGTACTTCTGCTTAGACAGCCAGCCAGCCTCTCCCAGGGTAGTCCATTCCATTCCTGCTATGTTTCTGAGTCCCTCCATAGCTCAGTGGCCGTAGCCTGGCAGCAGAGGACGTATCCTGCATGCAGAAGTTCCAGCTTCAGTCCCCTGCATCTCTGGGCAGGGATGGGAGAGACCCCTTCTGAAGGAAATAAGCAGCTATCCTATCTTCAAAAGACATCTGAAGGCAGCCCTGTTTAGGGAAGTTTTAATATTTAATGCTGTATTGTTTTTAACACTTGATTGGGAGCCGCCCAGAGTGGCTGGGGAGATTCAGCCAGATGGGCGGGGTATAAATAATAAATTATTATTATTATTATTATTATTATTATTATTATTATTTATAGAGAGCTGCTGCCGGTCAGTGTAAACAATACTGAGATCAATAGACCAAAGGTCTGTTTCAGTATAAGGCTGCTTTCTAGGTAAGCCGCAGCGTCTGGACCCAACCTTAACGGCAGCCCCATGTGGAACGCATTACGGCAAGCCAATCTTGACGTTGACAATGCACAGATCACTGTGGTCAGGTCATCCCTGTCCAACAATGGCCTCTGGAGCACCAGCTCAAGCTGGAAGATGGTATGCATAGCTACTGTGACCACTTAAGCTGAGACCCTACCAGCCTGCAGACTGTCTCGCCAGAGTAGTGCATGTTCTTGTTATCTCCTGCTTGGACTACCGCAATGCGCTCTACGTGGGGCTACCTTTGAAGGTGACCCGGAAACTACAATTAATCCAGAATGCAGCAGCTAGGCTGGTGACTGGGAGTGGCCACCGAGAACACGTAATACCGGTCTTGAAAGACCTACTGTACATTGGCTCCCAGTACGTTTCCGAGCACAATTAAAAGTGTTGGTGCTGACCTTTAAAGCCCTAAATGGCCTTGGTCCTGTATACCTGAAGGAGCATCTCCACCCCCATCGTTCTGCCTGGACACTGAGGTCCAGAGCCGAGGGCCTTCTGGCGGTTCCCTCCCCGCGAGAAGCGAGGTTACAGGGAACCAGGCAGAGGGCTTTCTCGGTAGTGGCGCCCGCCCTGTGGAACGCCCTCCCATCAGATGTCAAGGAACTAAACCACTATCTGACTTTTAGAAGACATCTGAAGGCAGCCCTGTTTAGGGAACTTTTTAATGTTTGCTGTTTTATCATGTTTTTGATATTCTGTTGGGAGCGGCCCAGAATGGATGGGAAAACCCAACCAGACAGGTGGGATATAAATAATAAATTATCATCATCATCATCATCATCATCATCATCACCATTATTATGACAACAAGGGACCCAGGTGTACCCCCAAATGTCACACCAGCTCTGTAAAGGTCAGCACTACCCTGTCTCAAACAGCCACCCTACTAGGCTGGGGAAGGCTTCATGGAACCATGATACTATAGAGTTGAAAGGGGTCATGATGCCCATCTAGTCCAACCCCCGCAAAGCAGGTGTCTTTTGCCCAATGTGGGACTCAAACCCACCACCCACAGATTAAGAGTCTCATGCTCTATCAACTGAGCTATCCCAGCTGAAGACCTCGGACCCACCTGCCCACAAGGCCTTTGTCTTGCCATCATTCAACTACCAGGTCCCCATCCATCCAGCCTCCCACTTTGAATTTGCTGTGCCTGAATGCATCAGTTTCCCTGCTTCTTTTCAGCACGGATCGTTACAAAATGAGTTTTCAGCATCCCTGCATCATGAGTGCTCCAGCCCCTCCAGCTTACAAGCATCCCTCTGGGCCAATCAGGTGGCAGGGCTGTGCAGGAGACCACGTGGCATGTGTGGTACCCAGCTCCCACCCTGTTGCAGACTAGAACATCACCCGGCCCCCCAAAAGTCAGCCTGGAACACTGTGAGGCAGGATGAATTGCATAGCAAACACAGCCTCTAATGCAGGAAGGAAATAATAACTAACTAACTAACTAACTAAATAAAAAACCCCCGCCCTTCCCAGTGCAGAAAACCGGGCTCAGGGCGGCTAACAACCAATTTAAAACACTTAATTGATGCAACAAAAAACAGCATAAAATACAGTATAAAACGTGGATAACAATAAATTCAAAATTCAGAAATCAATTTTGTGGGGGAAATCCATCCAATAAACATTAGATAGTCACGAGGGCTGGCTGGCTAAATTAGTCCTATTTAGGCCAGTGAGGAGACCAGGGGAGAATTAGCTGTGGGGTTTCATAGTGGGTAATCTTCATAAAAAAGGGGAGGGAGAGGGAAGGAAGGGGAATAAAAGATCAGGCTAAGTTCAGATTGAAAGCCAGGTGGAATAGCTCTGTCTTACAGGCCCTGCGGAAGGAGGTTAAATCCTGCAGGGCCCTGGCCTCATGGGACAGAGCATTCCACCAGGTCGGAGCCATCACTGAGAAGGCCCTGGGCCTGGTGGAGGATAATCTGACTTCCTTAGGGCCCGGGACCTCCAAACTATGATTATTCATGGACCTTAAGGTCCTCTGCGGGGCAGACCAGGAGATGCTTTTCAATTCCTACTGCTTTGGTTGGTCTGCAATCCCTGCATTGCCAACTGCAAGATGCTTAATTCTATGATGATGATGATGATGATGATGACGACGATTAAGTACCTCGTTGTTTTCGTGAATGTCGTGATCTATCATCTGCAGCAAGAACCACATCACATTCCTCAGGATGAAGGTGGTGATCAGATTCCAGTGGATAATATTCCGAAGGCATCGGATGCTCCTAAAGAGGCAAAGGCCAGAAGAAATTTAAAGAATATTTAGCTAAATATTGTGATATAAGATAATTAGAAAATTCTTGGAAGTAACAAATAGGCTTAGGGACAGAAAAAGAAGAGGTGGTAGTAAATATTAAGGATTAGAATATTAATAAGACTGCAGAATCTTCACACTCCGCCCCCTTGCATTCCTATGTCAAGATTTGGGGAAAAAAATTAGACCGGGATCCGCTGGATCAGAGTGATTTGCAGCAGCTCAGCAAGGATTCCGACTCTCTCCTTCTTCTAAATTCTGCTGGCAGAGTGGCGTTCTCAACAGACACTGGGATTGAGGCTTCATGTCCAATGTTCATGGGTTTCTGTGAATCATTTTGACTGGGGCCAAATTCCATCTCTCTGGTGGAAATGGTCTACAGAGCACCCATTCCTGGTAGGAGATCAGAGCTGATTTAGGTTTGATGAGGCCCTGCTCCTGCCAACCTAGTACGTTAGAGTGCAAGTAGATAAATAGGTAACGCTCCGGAGGGAAGGTAAATGACGTTTCCGTGCGCTGCTCTGGTTCACCAGAAGCGGCTTAGTCATGCTGGCCACATGACCCGGAAGCTGTACACTGGCTCCCTCGGCCAATAAAGCGAGATGAGTGCCACAACCCCAGAGTTGACCATGACTGGACCTAATGGTCAGGGGTCCCTTTACCTTTACCTTTACACATGTCCACCACATATGATAGTATGACCCCTCCTCTTTTTTGCATCTCCAAGGTCACCCAGGGAGCTTCATGACTGAGTGGGAATTTGAACCCTGGGTCTCTCTGGCACTCTAACCACTACACCCCACTGCCTTCCTAGAGTACTTCTGCTGTGGAGCAGCTCTATAAATCATGTAGGCAAATAATATGGGGAAAGCAAAATGTCGCTTAGAGAAGGATCTGAAATATTTTCCTTGAAGCTTGAATCTTTATTATTATTCAGGATTGTTTAATGTGGTGTTTTCATGAGTTGTGAACCACTCTGAGATTTCCCCCCTTTAAATTACGAAGCGGCGTAGAAATGAAATTAATTATAACAATAAAACAAACAAACAAACAAATGAATCAGTCTTAATATAAGGAGGTCAGAACATCCCTTTCTGAGTGGGAGTTTTCGGCCTCGCAGGAGAATTTTGATTTGTTCATGTCTTATGGCATGCTAGCAGATCTCTTGCAGTACGCAAATGAAGAATTGCTGGGATAGGCTGCAATCTGCAAACCGTTGGCTTCGGAATAATTGTCTGCACTTTAAGAAGACTACTGTGAAACCGCTTCAGAATTAATGGCTTGTGCAAGGCAGTTTCATTCCTCATTTTCCAGTTGCTAAACATTTTGCATAAAGAGCGCCACATCAGTGTCTTAATGAGGTGGAGAATGGCTCCGAGATATTATTTCCCTGAACTTTCACACTCCACATTATCGAAGGTCTTTTCAACACCCACCGCGTATTGGAGCTCAAAAATTACATTCCAAGGGCTGCTCCAGCTCTATCTCTCTCTGACTGTGTGCATGCACACACACACATTTGTGTGTGCCTCTGTGTGTGTGTTTGCAACAGCACAGCCTGGGGGCATCCCAAAGTTTCATTCCAATTAGGTTTTGCAAAATTATCCAACAGGAGAGAAGGTGGTTTTCTTAAAAAGCTCCTTGCAGCTTCAGATGCACTGGATTTTTAAAATTATTTTTAAAAAAACACAGATTGAAAACATGATTTGCACCGAAAGCTGCCGGAAAGGTGAAAACTGCCATGTTCACTGCCCTTGGCTAAAAAATAATGATATGTCTGGGTGCCGAATCGAAATCAAGCAACGCACAACACAGAAATATATACACACAGAGAGACAGAAATATTGCAACAAGGTGAAAAGAAAAAGTGGAATGATAAGACAAGCCATAGGTAAAAAAAGGTAAAAGGTAAAGGACCCCTGGACAGTTAAGTCCAGTCAAAGGCAACTATGGGGTTACGGCGCTCATCTTGCTTTCAGGCCGAGGGAGCCGGCGTTTGTCCACACACAGCTTTCCAGGTCATGTGGCCAGCAGGACTAAACCACTACTGGCGCACAGAGGACCATGACGAATGCCAGAGCGCATGGAAGCACTGTTTACGTTCCCACCGCAACGGTACCTATTTATCTGCTTGTACTGGTGTGCTTTCAAACTGCTAGGATGGCAGGAGCTGGGACCGAGCAACGGGAGCTCACTCCGTCATGGGGATTCAAACCGCCGACCTTCCGACCAGCAAGCCGAAGAGGCTCATTGCCCCATGTGTTACGAAGGCTGGACTAGCCTCCCCTCTAGTTTAAACAATTCTAAAACATGGACTTGCTTTTACTCTTGCAAGATTGAATGTATTGGCCTCGGCTGTACTCGAGGGACGATTCCAACAGATTCCACATGAGAAAAGCTTACAGTGGATGCTCAGGTTGCGAACGTGATCCATGTGGGATGCATGTTCGCACCCCGCAGCATCCGCAATCCCCAGCGGCGCACCTGCGCGTGCGGGGGTTGCAATTCGGCACGTCTGCGCATGTGCAAAGCATGATATAGCGCTTCTGCACATGCGCAGTCGTCGAAACCTGGAAGTAACCCATTCTGGTACTTTCGGGTTTCGGCGGTCCGCAACCCAAAAAAATGCAACCTGAAGCGTCTGTAACCTGAGGTATGACTGTATATCCCTGTGGAGATGGCAGTACCGAATTGGTGGCGCATGCCCTTCTGGCTTGCACTTTTCATAAAGACTTGAGGAATGAGATGATCACCCCTCTTTTATTGTCCATTCCAGGTGGCCCAGCCACTGCCGCAGTGTCCTTTCTCTTGGCAGATCAAGATGAGCAGGTGACAGCAAAGGTTGCAAGGTTTTTAGCTGGGGCAATCAGCATAAGATCCACTATTTGACTACTGATTCAAAAGCCAAAAATGTATTTTATATAATTGACTTTTTATTTTTATTCTCTGTATATCGTGTTGTTGTTTTATTACTATGGCCGATGGCTGACACAAATAAAGATTCACTCACTCACTCACTCACTCACTCACATTGCCAGTCCTATCCTGTGTAACAGTTTTCCAGCAGATTTGCAACAGGCCCCTTTGTTTCCGACTTTCAGGCATCTTTTGAAGACTTGTTAAAGCTGACAGACCTTTGCAGCTGTTTAGATTTTTATTTATTTATTAGCCAGTCATCATGTATATATTGTAGCGCACTGCCATGCTGCCATGAACTGGCAAGATGTAAATACTATTATAAATGAATAAATTCGGGTTGCACCATTGCAACGGATTGGGACGTCTCGTACGACAAGTCCACTTATCCCCCCCCCCCTCAAAAAGAAGAACAGATGTTTTGCAGGAAGGAATGTGACCAGGAAATGCAGGGGAAAATGGTGTGTTTCCTTTGATGCAACATCACAGATCAGAATGCATGCTCACCCAATAGCCCACATTGTGTAATCGCCCTGCAAACCAATTGGGATGTATGCTTAATAATAATAATAATAATAATAATAATAATAATAGTAATAAAATGTTGCTGTTGCTATTATATTTTATTGATACTCTACTTACTCTGGGTGGCTTCCAGCACATATAAAACACAATAAAATGTCAAATATTAAAAGCTTCATTTGGAATTGTCCTGGGTTTCAATGGCCAACATTTTCAGCCTCTCCCTAGGAACAGAGCTCCAAAGGTTTTTCTCTTTTCTTGTTTTCTTCCTCCCTTCTTCCCTATCCTTCTTTCCCCCATCACCAGATTTAGGCAGCAGCCGAAACTTCTTTTCCTTTTTCATTTCCCCA